AATGATAATGCACCCGTTTTCACGAAGTCGGTATACAAAGCTAATGTCGCAGAAAATTCACCAAGAGGCACAGTTGTAACCATAGTCAGTGCATCAGATGCTGATTACGGATCAAATGGACGAATAACGTATTCGATCAGAAATACTTTAGACGATGTCAGACAGTTGTTTGAGGTAAATGAACACACGGGCGAGGTTAGATTAACAGGAAATATTGACTACGAAAAGTCAAACAATTATCGGATAAATGTGCGTGCAAGTGATGACGGAGGACTAACGGACACATGCAAAGTAATAGTTGACGTTATAGATGTGAACGATAATCACCCCATTATTAATATAATGTCTGAAACAAATGTTATATCTGAAGATATCAAAAGCAACACTGTAGTGACAATAATTAATATTCAAGACATAGACGACAGCGAGAATGGCAAAGTCAGCTGCACAATAAATGAAAATATTCCGTTCATATTACAATCAACGGAAAATAATTTCTATACCTTAGTGACAGACAGTGATTTAGACAGAGAGAGAGCCTCTGAGTATAACATCACTGTGACCTGCTCTGATGAGGGAGTGCCCTCCCTCTCCAGCAGCGTCACTCTCACCTTACAGATCTCAGACGTTAATGATAACGCACCTGTCTTTGAGAGGAGCTCATATGAGGCCTACATTGTAGAAAACAACACACCGGGCCTCTCTATATTCACAGTCAAAGCCACCGACGCTGACTGGAACCAGAATGCCCGTGTTTCTTACATACTGGAGGACTCCTCCGTTAACGGAGTGCCAGTCTCCTCATATGTGTCCGTTAGTGCAGATAGTGGAGTCATCCATGCAGTGCGCTCTTTTGACTACGAGCAGATCAAAGACTTCCACTTCCGCGTAAAAGTGCAGGATGGAGGCTCTCCTCCACTCAGCAGCAACGTGACTGTGAAAATAATGATCCAAGACCAGAACGACAACCCCCCTCAGGTTCTGTACCCAGTCCAGACTGGTGGCTCTCTGGTGGCTGAAATGGTGCCTCGTTCAGCAGATGTGGGCTATCTGGTGACGAAAGTGGTGGCTGTTGATGTGGACTCTGGACAGAATGCCTGGCTCTCCTATAAACTGCAGAAAGCCACAGACAGGGCGCTGTTTGAAGTGGGCTTACAGAATGGAGAAATCAGAACTATCCGCCAAGTCACTGATAAAGATGCTGTCAAACAAAGACTGACTGTTATAGTGGAGGACAACGGGCAGCCCTCTCGTTCAGCTACAGTCATTGTTAACGTGGCGGTGGCGGACAGCTTCCCTGAAGTGCTGTCGGAGTTCACTGAGTTGACACACGACAAGGATTACAATGACAACCTGACTTTTTACTTGGTCCTGGCTCTGGCTGTAGTTTCCTTCCTCTTCATCACGTGTTTAGTGGTTATTATATCAGTCAAAATCTACAGGTGGAGACAGTCTCGCATCCTGTATCACTCCAACCTGCCTGTCATTCCATATTATCCACCACGTTACTCAGACACTTTGGGCACAGGGACTCTTCCACATGTGTACAATTACGAGGTGTGCAGGACGACTGACTCCAGAAAGAGTGACTGTAAGTTCGGCAGAGCTGGTAGTCAGAACGTGCTGATAATGGACCCCAGTTCTACAGGAACGATGCAGCGGATACAGAGTGAAAAGAGCATCCTGGATGAACCAGACTCTCCTCTAGAGGTTAGACTCTTTAAATTCTGATAAACCTATACAATACTATTCCCCGCTGTTTTTACTACCTGTCCAAGTAATTTCAGTACCTTGGATAGCGATGGGATTATCGCTTTTATTATTGTGTATCTTTTTTTCCCTAATCCTTGTCCTATTTTGCTTACGCTTCAGTTGAGTAGTTTCGTATTGAATTAATATTTTATCAATAAGGGAACTCGTTGTCTAATTTAGTATTATCTTATTTGTAATTAAAACGGAATCATTAATGTGTTTTGTCTGGTATTTTCGGTAAAATTTATAGGTGTAGTGTTAGAGAGACTTTTAAATCCTGAAAATTGCACTTTCGAGTTTTGAACTCAGTGGGCCGCTGTTGACCAGCGTCAGCATTTTTTTTTAAATTATTTGAAACACGGCACATCCTCCGTCCTCTCAAAGAGCGAAGGACTCGTGTGCATGCGGAATACACTGTAGTGCATAAGGTAGAAGGCACGAATAATCTTCATGGAATAACCATATCGTTGGATTTTAATTCATCAAAACTTAGCTGTACATTTAATTTTTGCTCTGTAACGCGGATTGCGAAACAAAGAGAGAACATTAGTTCTGTTCGACGGATGTGCTTAACAGAACAATGAAAGGGCAAGTACTGTTGTTTTTCTTGGTCGTCTTTCCTCGTTTTGTGTTCGGCCAGGTCAGCTACTCTATCCCCGAGGAAATGGCGAAAGGCTCTTTAGTCGGTTATATAGCTCAGGATTTGGGTTTAGATGTTAAACGATTACAAGCCGGCAGAGCTCGTATCCACACCGGAGACAATGCAGAGTATCTTCAGCTTAACAAGGAAAAGGGACTACTCGTCATCAAAGAAAAAATAGACCGCGAGGCTCTCTGTGGCCAGACGACGCCTTGTGCTTTACATTTTCAAATTGCTTTAGAAAATCCAATAGAAATATTTCCCGTCACTGTAGTAATCACAGACATTAATGACAACGCTCCCGTATTTGAAAGGGAAGAGAGGCGCTTTGAAATCAGCGAGTCTGCAGTCGTCGGTTCTAAATTCATGCTAGAAAAAGCAATAGATCCAGATATAGGATTAAATGGTCTTCAGAGCTATACATTGAAGCCCAACGACAATTTTATACTTAAAATGAACAGTCAGTCTGATGGTGGTAAAAAGGTCGAGATGATTTTACAGAAGTCTCTAGACAGAGAGAAGCAGGAGTATGCATCATTGCTGTTAACAGCTGTTGATGGAGGAGAGCCTCAAAGGTCTGGGACTATGCAGATTCATATTACAGTGTTAGACGTTAATGATAACGCCCCTGTTTTTACACAAACCGTTTACAAAGCTGAAATCAAAGAGAACTCAGTCAACGGGACAGTCATTACCAAAGTGAGCGCCTCCGATGCAGATAAAGGCTCTAATGGGGAGGTTAGCTACGTAATTGGAAATAGCATGAGGGGCCTTTCAAATGTATTCGTCATTACGGAAGACGGGCATCTTGTACTAAATGCCCCTCTTGATTATGAAAAAGCCCAAAAGTATGAGATTTACGTAGAGGCAGTGGACAGAGGAGGACTGTCTGATTCGAGCAAAGTCATTATTGATGTAGGAGACATTAATGACAACAGTCCAGTTATAAAAATAATATCGTCGTCAATTTCAATAGGAGAAAATTCGCCTTCGGGCACAGTGGTAGCTGTAATGAGTGTTAATGATCCTGATTCCGACGTAAATGGTAAAGTCGAGTGTACGATTAATAAAAACACACCATTTGCAATTACTTCTACATCCAGTAATTTTTACAGCATTATAACAGACAGTGATTTAGACAGAGAGAGAGCCTCTGAGTATAATATAACTGTGACCTGCACTGATGAGGGAGTGCCCTCCCTCTCCAGCAGCGTCACTCTCACCTTACAGATCTCAGACGTTAATGATAACGCACCTGTCTTTGAGAGGAGCTCATATGAGGCCTACATTGTAGAAAACAACACACCAGGTCTCTCTATATTCACAGTCAAAGCCACCGACGCTGACTGGAACCAGAATGCCCGTGTTTCTTACATACTGGAGGACTCCTCCGTTAACGGAGTGCCAGTCTCCTCATATGTGTCCGTTAGTGCTGATAGTGGAGTCATCCATGCAGTGCGCTCTTTTGACTACGAGCAGATCAAAGATTTCCACTTCCGCGTAAGAGCACAGGATGGAGGCTCTCCTCCACTCAGCAGCAACGTGACTGTGAAAATAATGATCCAAGACCAGAACGACAACCCCCCTCAGGTTCTGTACCCAGTCCAGACTGGTGGCTCTCTGGTGGCTGAAATGGTGCCTCGTTCAGCAGATGTGGGCTATCTGGTGACGAAAGTGGTGGCTGTTGATGTGGACTCTGGACAGAATGCCTGGCTCTCCTATAAACTGCAGAAAGCCACAGACAGGGCGCTGTTTGAAGTGGGCTTACAGAATGGAGAAATCAGAACTATCCGCCAAGTCACTGATAAAGATACTGTCAAACAAAGACTGACTGTTATAGTGGAGGACAACGGGCAGCCCTCTCGTTCAGCTACAGTCGTTGTTAACGTGGCGGTGGCGGACAGCTTCCCTGAAGTGCTGTCGGAGTTCACTGAGTTGACACACGACAAGGAGTACAATGACAACCTGACTTTTTACTTAGTCTTGGCTCTGGCTGTAGTTTCCTTCCTCTTCATCACGTGTTTAGTGGTTATTATATCAGTCAAAATCTACAGGTGGAGACAGTCTCGCATCCTGTATCACTCCAACCTGCCTGTCATTCCATATTATCCACCACGTTACTCAGACACTTTGGGCACAGGGACTCTGCCACACGTGTACAATTACGAGGTGTGTAGGACGACTGACTCCAGAAAGAGTGACTGTAAGTTCGGCAGAGCTGGTAGTCAGAACGTGCTGATAATGGACCCCAGTTCTACAGGAACGATGCAGCGGATACAGAGTGAAAACAGCATCCTGGATGAACCAGACTCTCCGATAGAGGTTAGAATTAATATTACATCACAAACGACGCAATATAACTTGTTATTTTCGTTAGTCTTTTTTTCAGCACCTTGGAGAGCAACATTTATAAGTATATCATTTAGTTTACGTATTTAACATGATTTGAGGCTCGTTTCCAACTTTTGTGGGATTTGTCTTGTATTTTAGACAGTTTTTATAAAACAAAAATGTTATACACAACATTTAAAATTGAGTGACTTTCTGGGTATTCACGCTTTTGTTATATGTCATCATTTCTCCTGTAATTTTGCTTTTTGAACTCAATGGGCCGCTGTTGCCTTCTTTGTTGCAGTTGTGGTATATTTTCTGCTGAGCCGCCTCTCCTTTTCGGTGTATTAGAGAAAAACGGCAGGACCGACCGCATTGTCTTCGTTTGTCAGGCGGATATGCACAAAGGCGACGCAAATTTTAACAATTTTCCTTCCGTTCTGAGGATTGTTTTTCTTCGTATTAATTGTGATTGTCTGTCTGCCATCCAAATGGATTTTTAGGAATCTTTCTTTTAATCTTAACGACCCACATACACAAAATGAGACGGCAAGTACAGCTGTTTATTTTACTTCTGGTTGTTTGTGATGCTTTCGGGCAGGTCAGTTACTCTGTTCCGGAGGAAATGGCGAAAGGTACCTTAGTTGGAAATATAGCTCTGGATTTAGGCTTAGATGTTAAAAGGCTAAAGCTGGGCAACGCTCGTGTTTATTCCGGTGATAGCAGAGAATACGTCGAGTTAAACGCCGAGAGAGGAGTCCTTCTAATCAGAGAGCGAATAGACAGAGAGGCGTTATGCGGTGACACGACGCCGTGCGCTGTGCATTTTCAGATTGTGTTAGAAAATCCTATGGAGTTTTACAGTGTTACAGTTGAAATAACAGATATTAATGATAATCCGCCAACGTTTGAAAAAAATGAAATTAAATTCATCATTAGTGAGTCTGCTGTTGTTGGGGCTAAATTTGATTTAGAAAGAGCTGTAGATTTGGATGTGGGTATAAACACTCTCCAAAGTTATGTCCTAGAACCAAGCGATAATTTTATGCTTAAATTGCACAACCAAGCTGACGGTACAAAAAATGTTGAAATGGTCTTACAAAAGCCCTTGGACAGAGAGAAAAATGATTTTATTGCGTTAGTGTTGACCGCTGTAGATGGAGGAGAGCCACAGATGTCAGGAACAATGCAGATTTTTATTTCAGTGTTAGACGTCAATGACAACGCACCCGTTTTTACGCAGCAGGTATACAAAGGCACTGTATCCGAAAATGCTACAAAAGGCACAACTGTGACTTCTGTTCGTGCTTCAGATGCTGATCATGGATTGAATGGCAAAATAACATATTCAATCACAAATACTTTGGATGACGTCAGACATATGTTTGAAATAAACGATGAAAACGGTGAAGTTAAATTGATTGGGCGGTTGGATTATGAAAAGAAAAGACATTTCCAAATCAATGTACGGGCAAGGGATAACGGAGGACTCACTGATTCTTGCAAAGTTATTGTCGATGTCGTTGATATAAATGACAATGAACCAACGATTAAAATTATGTCTAAATCAACAATTATATCAGAGAGTGCAAAGCCCAACACAGTTGTTACAATGATTAACATTCAAGACCCAGACTCAGATGAATATGGTAAAGTTCAATGTTTTATAAGTGATAATATTCCTTTCGTGTTGAAATCCACATCTAATAATTTCTATACCTTAGTAACAGACAGTGATTTAGACAGAGAGAGAGCCTCTGAGTATAACATCACTGTGACCTGCTCTGATGAGGGAGTGCCCTCCCTCTCCAGCAGCGTCACTCTCACCTTACAGATCTCAGACATTAATGATAACGCACCTGTTTTTGAGAGGAGCTCATATGAGGCCTACATTGTAGAAAACAATACACCAAGTCTCTCTATATTCACAGTCAAAGCAACAGACGCTGACTGGAACCAGAACGCCCGTGTTTCTTACATACTGGAGGACTCCTCCGTTAACGGAGTGCCAGTCTCCTCGTATGTGTCCGTTAGTGCTGATAGTGGAGTCATCCATGCAGTGCGCTCTTTTGACTACGAGCAGATCAAAGATTTCCACTTCCGCGTAAGAGCGCAGGATGGAGGCTCTCCTCCACTCAGCAGCAACGTGACTGTGAAAGTAATGATCCGGGACCAGAACGACAACCCCCCTCAGGTTCTGTACCCAGTTCAGACTGGTGGATCTCTGGTGGCTGAAATGGTGCCTCGTTCAGCAGATGTGGGCTATCTGGTGACTAAAGTGGTGGCTGTTGATGTGGACTCTGGACAGAATGCCTGGCTCTCCTATAAACTGCAGAAAGCCACAGACAGGGCGCTGTTTGAAGTGGGCTTACAGAATGGAGAAATCAGAACTATCCGCCAAGTCACTGATAAAGATGCTGTCAAACAAAGACTGACTGTTATAGTGGAGGACAACGGACAGCCCTCTCGTTCTGCTACAGTCGTTGTTAACGTGGCGGTGGCGGACAGCTTCCCTGAAGTGCTGTCGGAGTTCACTGAGTTGACCCACGACAAGGAGTACAATGACAATCTGACTTTTTACTTAGTCTTGGCTCTGGCTGTAGTTTCCTTCCTCTTCATCACGTGTTTAGTGGTTATTATATCAGTCAAAATCTACAGGTGGAGACAGTCTCGCATCCTGTATCACTCCAACCTGCCTGTCATTCCATATTATCCACCACGTTACTCAGACACTTTGGGCACAGGGACTCTTCCACATGTGTACAACTACGAGGTGTGCAGGACGACTGACTCCAGAAAGAGTGACTGTAAGTTCGGCAGAGCTGGTAGTCAGAACGTGCTGATAATGGACCCCAGTTCTACAGGAACGATGCAGCGGATACAGAGTGAAAACAGCATCCTGGATGAACCAGACTCTCCTCTGGAGGTTGGTTATTTTAGTTTCATTTCCGTAGCAAATGCAGGCCCGTTTTAATATGTAACGTGGTTGTGATTCTTTTTCCGTCTTCAGTCAGAACCATGGATAGAGATTACCTTTGTAACTTATTTCATAGATTTAACCTAAGGAGATTTTCGTTTTCATTTAAATTGTTTGTTGTTGTTTTTTATTTTGTTTGTTTGTTTTTAATGTCCAGCCTTTATATTGTTTCTAGTTCTCGGTATTGATTGTAATTTCAGGTATACAGAGTTTTATTGATGGAAACATATTATTCTCGCCTATTCTCACTCTAGGTTCAAAACATCTTTCAGTATTTGAAAACATTCTCATTTCTATCTCAATCACCTGTTCAAAATAGGCTCGCTCATTGCTCTTTCTTATTTAATGGAGATGGATTTCCTCATTCTAAGTTTTTTTTTATCGTATTAAAATCAGTCCTTATACAGCAATTTCATTTCTACCTAAACATTACTCTTCAGTTTTCATGAGTAATTCTTATGTATTTTTTACTTTGAACTCAGAGGGACGCTGTTGACCAGGATGTATCAGTTCGTCGCTGATGTGTAGTAGTACCTCCCATCATCTCCTTCTATTTTGTCGAGAAGCACAGCTCAGAGATTCAATAAAAACCGTTTGTGGGAATGTAACCGAACGCAGATACATAAACCTTGGGCTTTCTGTTACGGATTTCTGTTCAGTTAACGTGAATCGGGACAAAGGGTTTACATATGGATATTTTGATGATGGCAGGAGTAACAGCGAGACGGCAAGTACTATTGTTCATTTCGGTCCTCTCCCTCAGTGCAGCTGTCGGACAGGTCAGCTACTCTATTCCTGAGGAAATGGCGAAAGGCTCTTTCGTTGGTAACATAGCTCAGGATTTAGGTTTAGACATCCAAAGACTGAAATCCGGCAGGGCTCGGGTTTTTACTCGAGACAACACAGCTTACATCGAGCTAAACAGCGAAAGGGGAATTCTCCTACTTAAAGAAAGGATAGACAGGGAGGCGCTGTGTGGACAAATGACGCCTTGCGCTTTACATTTTCAGATTTTATTAGAAAATCCGATGGAATTTTATAGTGTCACTGTTGAAATCACAGATATAAATGACAATCCTCCGACTTTCATCACGAACGAGGCACATTTTAATATAAGCGAATCTGCGCTGAGTGGCACAGCATTCGTTTTAGATCGGGCGACCGATCTTGATGTGGGCGAAAATAGTTTAAAAGCATATGCTCTTAAACCAAGTGATATATTTTCTCTGAAAATAAATAATCAGGGACAGGGTAGTAAAAACGTGGAGATGGTTCTGAATGCACCGCTGGACAGAGAGAAAAATGAACACCTACGTTTGGTTCTGACGGCGGTGGATGGTGGCGAGCCGCGGATGACGGGAACGATGCAGATTCACATTAATGTTTTAGACGTTAATGACAATGCTCCCGTTTTTACACAGCCCGTTTATAAAGCATTTATAAAGGAAAATGCACCAGTCGGAACTGTTGTAGGGACAGTTACTGCAACTGATGCAGATGACGGGTCTAATGGTAGAATAACTTATTCAATTTCAGCTATGCTAGATCATGCCTATGGTATTTTTGAAATCAATAAAAGAAGTGGTGAAGTCACTTTGATTGGAAAGGTTGACTATGAGAAAACCAGAACTTTTCAGATTAATATTCGAGCGAGTGATGACGGAGGTTTAAGTGGTTCATGCAAATTAATAGCTGATGTAATAGACACGAATGACAACCGCCCCGACATTCATATCATGTCTAAATCAAATGTTATATCAGAAGATGCGAAGCCTAACACCGTTGTAACAATGATAAATGTAGAAGATGCAGATTCATCTGAAAATGGAAAAGTGCAATGCGACATCAATGACAGTAATAGTTTCATATTGAAGTCAGTTTCAGAAAAATTCTATAGTTTGATGACAGACAATGATTTAGACAGAGAGAGAGCCTCTGAGTATAACATCACTGTGACCTGCTCTGATGAGGGAGTGCCCTCCCTCTCCAGCAGTGTCACTCTCACCTTACAGATCTCAGACGTTAATGATAACGCACCTGTCTTTGAGAGGAGCTCATATGAGGCCTACATTGTAGAAAACAACACACCAGGTCTCTCTATATTCACAGTCAAAGCCACCGACGCTGACTGGAACCAGAATGCCCGTGTTTCTTACATACTGGAGGACTCCTCCGTTAACGGAGTGCCAGTCTCCTCATATGTGTCCGTTAGTGCTGATAGTGGAGTCATCCATGCAGTGCGCTCTTTTGACTACGAGCAGATCAAAGATTTCCACTTCCGCGTAAGAGCGCAGGATGGAGGCTCTCCTCCACTCAGCAGCAACGTGACTGTGAAAGTAATGATCCGGGACCAGAACGACAACCCCCCTCAGGTTCTGTACCCAGTCCAGACTGGTGGCTCTCTGATGGCTGAAATGGTGCCTCGTTCAGCAGATGTGGGTTATCTGGTGACGAAAGTGGTGGCTGTTGATGTGGACTCTGGACAGAATGCCTGGCTCTCCTATAAACTGCAGAAAGCCACAGACAGGGCGCTGTTTGAAGTGGGCTTACAGAATGGAGAAATCAGAACTATCCGCCAAGTCACTGATAAAGATGCTGTCAAACAAAGACTGACCGTTATAGTGGAGGACAACGGGCAGCCTTCCCGTTCAGCTACAGTCGTTGTTAACGTGGCGGTGGCGGACAGCTTCCCTGAAGTGCTGTCGGAGTTCACTGAGTTGACACACGACAAGGAGTACAATGACAACCTGACTTTTTACTTAGTCTTGGCTCTGGCTGTAGTTTCCTTCCTCTTCATCACGTGTTTAGTGGTTATTATATCAGTCAAAATCTACAGGTGGAGACAGTCTCGCATCCTGTATCACTCCAACCTCCCTGTCATTCCATATTATCCACCACGTTACTCAGACACTTTGGGGACAGGGACTCTGCCCCATGTGTACAATTACGAGGTGTGCAGGACGACTGACTCCAGAAAGAGTGACTGTAAGTTCGGCAGAGCTGGTAGTCAGAACGTGCTGATAATGGACCCCAGTTCTACAGGAACAATGCAGCGGATACAGAGTGAAAAGAGCATCCTGGATGAACCAGACTCTCCTCTGGAGGTTAGAATTTTCCAACCATTCAAAATTAATGTTAAGAAGTTAATGCTTGACATCTTATTTTCAGCACCTCGGACAGCGACATGATCTTTTTTTCATAAAATAATTTACATTTCAAATTATTTAAATGATTATTTCATGCAACCAATACAGCTCGGGGAATTCCCTTCACACAATCATGTATTTCAAATATCTGAATTACTTTGAGTAATATTTTTGAAACGTAAACTCTTTGATTGCTTCCCATATACTAAACGATTAGTTTTCATCTTTAGTATATACATATGATATTTCATGTTGAACATTTAAAATGCAATGATAGTTCATGAACTCAAAGTGCCGCTGTTGCCCAGTCTGTGTCAGATTTAACGCAGACATTTGTACCTCCCATCATGGCTTTATTTTAGAGAGAGAAAGAGGGAGAAGCAGCCCTCGTCGTCTACAGTTTACTGGACACAGGACGTCATATCTCTTCTATATTTTGGGAATATGATTTAAAATCAGCTTTAACCTCTTCATTTGGGATAAAAAAAAATCATCGCATCCATACATGCTTGTCATCGGGATATCGTCAGAGAGAACAATGGGAGGGCAAGTACTGTTGTTTTTCTCGGTCTTCTCTCTCAGCTCGGTACTCGGACAGGTCAGCTACTCTATTCCTGAAGAAATGTCGAAAGGCTCTCTAGTTGGAAACATGGCAAAAGATTTCGGCTTAGATGTTAGACGATTAAAATCGGGTAAAGCTCGTATTTTCTCCCCTGACACCGATGATTATATTGAGCTGAATAACGATAGAGGAGTCCTCCTCATCAAGAATAGGATCGACAGAGAGGCGCTCTGTGGGCAAACAACGCCTTGCGCTTTGCATTTTCAAATTATACTAGAAAATCCAATGGAATTTTACAGTGTGACAGTTGAGATAACAGATATTAACGATAACCCGCCGTCCTTTGAAAAGAATGACGTCAAATTTAAAATTAGCGAATCCGCCCTCCGTGGGGCTAAATTCATTTTAGACCGTGCTGTCGACCCTGATGTAGGCTTAAATGGACTGCAAACCTATGAACTTGAACCGTCAGAGAATTTTGTGGTTAAATTGCATGACCAAGCAGATGAGACAAAAAACGTTGAAATGATCTTAGACAAACCGCTTGACAGGGAAAAACATGAATATTTGTCTCTGATACTGACGGCGCTGGATGGGGGAGAGCCGCAGATGACAGGAACAATGCAGATTCTAATCACTGTTTTAGATGCTAATGACAATTATCCTGTCTTTACGCAGCCAATTTATAAAGCTTCGATAAGAGAAAATTCGGCAGTCGGAACTACTGTAATGAGAGTTACAGCAACAGATGCGGATCATGGGTCTAACGGTAGAATAACTTATTCAATTTCCAGTATATTAGACAATGCCCGTGGTTTATTTGAAGTAAACGGTGAAAGTGGTGAAATTCGGCTTATAGGAAATGTTGACTATGAAAAAGCTCGAACATTTCAGATAAACATTCGTGCAAGTGATGACGGAGGACTAGTTGACTCGTGTAAAGTGAAGATTGACGTGATTGATATGAATGACAATAAACCTGATATTCATATCATGTCTAAATCGAATGTAATAACAGAAGACGCAAAGCCCGGTACTACGGTCACAATGATTCATGCTAAGGATGCAGATTCAGGTGAAAATGGAAAGGTCCAGTGCACAATGAATGAAAATATTCCTTTTGTGATGAAGTCTACAACCAGTGATTTCTATAGTTTGATGACAGACAGTGATTTAGACAGAGAGAGAGCCTCTGAGTATAATATCACCGTGACCTGCTCTGATGAGGGAGTGCCCTCCCTCTCCAGCAGCGTCACTCTCACCTTACAGATCTCAGACGTTAATGATAACGCACCTGTCTTTGAGAGGAGCTCATATGAGGCCTACATTGTAGAAAACAACACACCAGGTCTCTCTATATTCACAGTCAAAGCCACAGACGCTGACTGGAACCAGAATGCCCGTGTTTCTTACATACTGGAGGACTCCTCCGTTAACGGAGTGCCAGTCTCCTCATATGTGTCCGTTAGTGCTGATAGTGGAGTCATCCATGCAGTGCGCTCTTTTGACTACGAGCAGATCAAAGATTTCCACTTCCGCGTAAGAGCGCAGGATGGAGGCTCTCCTCCACTCAGCAGCAACGTGACTGTGAAAGTAATGATCCGGGACCAGAACGACAACCCCCCTCAGGTTCTGTACCCAGTCCAGACTGGTGGTTCTCTGGTGGCTGAAATGGTGCCTCGTTCAGCAGATGTGGGCTATCTGGTGACGAAAGTGGTGGCTGTTGATGTGGACTCTGGACAGAATGCCTGGCTCTCCTATAAACTGCAGAAAGCCACAGACAGGGCGCTGTTTGAAGTGGGCTTACAGAATGGAGAAATCAGAACTATCCGCCAAGTCACTGATAAAGATACTGTCAAACAAAGACTGACTGTTATAGTGGAGGACAACGGACAGCCCTCTCGTTCAGCTACAGTCGTTGTTAACGTGGCGGTGGCGGACAGCTTCCCTGAAGTGCTGTCGGAGTTCACTGAGTTGACACACGACAAGGAGTACAATGACAACCTGACTTTTTACTTAGTCTTGGCTCTGGCTGTAGTTTCCTTCCTCTTCATCACGTGTTTAGTGGTTATTATATCAGTCAAAATCTACAGGTGGAGACAGTCTCGCATCCTGTATCACTCCAACCTCCCTGTCATTCCATATTATCCACCACGTTACTCAGACACTTTGGGGACAGGGACTCTGCCACATGTGTACAATTACGAGGTGTGCAGGACGACTGACTCCAGAAAGAGTGACTGTAAGTTCGGCAGAGCTGGTAGTCAGAACGTGCTGATAATGGACCCCAGTTCTACAGGAACGATGCAGCGGATACAGAGTGAAAAGAGCATCCTGGATGAACCAGACTCTCCTCTGGAGGTTAGAATTATTATTACAATACTTTATATAATGTCCAGTACCTTGGACAGAGACACAACATCCGTCTGTCTGTCTATCTATCTATCTATCTATCTATCTATCTATCTATCTATCTATCTATCTATCTATCTATCTATCTATCTATCTATCTATCTATCCTGCTATTTCTCCTATTTCTGCATTTCCCTTTTATGTCCCTAAGTGCCGCTGTTGGGTAGTATCAGTAAAATCAGAGCTTTTTTTCTAGTCGAGGTCCTCCCTCGCCATTCTGTTGCTTTATTCGGAGCTAGACTGACAAACCACACTCCCCGTACTCAGTTGTTAACTTGTGACCAAATATTTGGTCCGTTTTCCTCATTCAGATATTGTGAACAATTTCGTCACTATGGGTGTTTTTTGTTATTTCGCCGAAAAGAAAATTGTTTCATTGTTGCCGCTGCTTGTCTGCATCTGCGTCGCAGAAATAGCTGTCGGTCAGGTCCGTTATTCTATACCAGAGGAGATGGCGACGGGCTCTGTTGTCGGGAATATAATTCAAGATCTAGGTTTGGATATTAAGCGATTGAAATCTGGGCGTGCTAGGATATTTACCGAGGACGACAGTGAGTACATTGGTCTGAATTCAGAAAAGGGGACTTTAGTAGTGGCTAAAAGGATAGACAGGGAAGAATTATGCAAGCAAGTGTCTCCGTGCTCTCTTCATTTCCAAATAATCCTTGAAAATCCAATGGAGCTACACAGAATCGATGTAGAGATTTTAGATATCAATGACAACGCTCCGTATTTTTCCAAGAAGGAATACAATTTCCAGGTTATTGAATCTGCCTCACCGGGGGCTCGTTATTCCTTAGAGAGTGCCAGTGACCCTGATGTAGCAATGAACACCATTCAAACGTACAAACTCAACCCTTCAGATAATTTCAAACTGAACGTTGTATCTCTTCCCGATGGTACAAAATATATTGAAATGGTTCTTCACACATCGCTTGATAGAGAAAAACAAGAAGAGCATAAATTAACTCTGACAGCATTTGATGGAGGTAATCCTCAGAAATCGGGTTCAGTCAAAATAAACGTCATTGTTCTGGATGCTAACGACAATGCGCCAGTATTCAGCCAGTCCGTTTACAGGGTTACCGTTCCTGAAAACGCACAGAAGGGCGCCGTTATTTTAAGAGTCAGTGCCTCTGATAATGATAAGGGAACAAATGAAGAGATAACATTTTCGTTCTCACAGCATACCAGCAGTGCATCTTCCCTGTTTATTATAGACCCCCACAGCGGAGAAATAAGTGTAACTGGTGTTTTAGATTATGAAAAAGCTAAACATTATGAAATAAACATTGAAGCCACGGACAAAGGGGGCCTTACAGACACAAGCAAGGTGCTAATTGAAGTGACCGACCTAAATGATAATGCCCCTATAATTAGCATCATTTCCCTCTCCAATGCAATACCAGAAGATTCCCCTCTAAATACCGTCATAGCAATGATCAATATTAAAGATTTGGACTCGGGTAAAAATAGTCATGTTAGGTGTTATATTAGCCAAGATTTGCCTTTCAAAATCAAGTCCTCCGCACCTAATTTCTATAGTCTGATATCTGACGATATTTTGGATCGTGAAACAGTACCAGAATATAATATAACTATTACAGCAGTAGATGAGGGTTCCCCGCCTTTTTCCACAAACAAGAGTATTAATTTAAGAATATCGGACGTAAATGACCACGCACCAACGTTCCCGCAACAGTTTTTGACCGCTTTCGTCAATGAAAATAATTCACCTGGTATGTCACTCCTCACCGTCAAAGCCAGCGACATGGACTATGGAAGCAATGCGCGCATTTCGTATTTTCTTGAGGATAGTCAGCTGAATGGGATGTCAGCTTCTGCTTATTTTTCAGTGAATGTAGAGCGGGGGGAGATAGTTGCTGTGCGCTCCTTCGACTATGAGCAAACAAAAGAGTTCCATATTCGCGTAAAAGCGCAGGATGGAGGCTCTCCTCCACTCAGCAGCAACGTGACTGTGAAAATAATGATCCAGGACCAAAACGACAACCCCCCTCAGGTTCTGTACCCAGTCCAGACTGGTGGCTCTCTGATGGCTGAAATGGTGCCTCGTTCAGCAGATGTGGGCTATCTGGTGACGAAAGTGGTGGCTGTTGATGTGGACTCTGGACAGAATGCCTGGCTCTCCTACAAACTGCAGAAAGCCACAGACAGGGCGCTGTTTGAAGTGGGCTTACAGAATGGAGAAATCAGAACTATCCGCCAAGTCACTGATAAAGATGCTGTAAAGCAAAGACTGACTGTTATAGTGGAGGACAACGGGCAGCCCTCTCGTTCTGCTACAGTCATTGTTAACGTGGCAGTGGCGGACAGCTTCCCTGAAGTGCTGTCGGAGTTCACTGAGTTGACGCACGACAAGGAGTACAATGACAACCTGACTTTTTACTTAGTCTTGGCTCTGGCTGTAGTTTCCTTCCTCTTCATCACGTGTTTAGTGGTTATTATATCAGTCAGAATCTACAGGTGGAGACGCGAGAGGTTGTTTTATAAATCCAGCGGGAATCTTCCTGTTATTCCATACTATCCTCCCCTTTACGCAGACGTAAGCGGCACCGGTACGCTGAAGCAGGGGTTCAGTTATGAGGTCTATGGTACTACTGACTCTCGAATGAGTGATGTGAAGAACTCCCGACCCTTCAGCCAAAGCACTATGAGTATTGACCAAAGTGCTACCAGGACAGTTCAAAGGCATAAAACCGAGTCAGAGAATATACCCACGGAGGTGAGGTCATAAATTCCTGAAAATCTATATTCACACACACACACACACACACACACACACACACACACACACACACACACACACACACACACACACACACATATATATATATATATATATACACACACACACACACACACACACACACACACACACACACACACACACATTAGTTAGGTCACTGATCAGTCATTATTTTTATTATCTCATACTGTATTTATGTCATCAAGTCTACTCAGTTTCAGTCCTTACTGTTCCAAAAGTAGTCTGCAGGTATCTATCTAAGTTAAGATTATAGACAGTTGTTCAGGGGTATAAAAATTAAAAAATGCAATAGGATGGTTCAGAAAATGTGAATTTAAAACTATACTGAATAAATTAGTTCATTAGTTCCCACCACAACTTACTATTTAGACATGCTTAACGGTGGATTTTTTTTTCTTTTCTTTTTTTTCTTGACTGGTATAGTCTACAAGCCTAAACAGATACTTTTCAGTTATTTTGAAAATGAATCAGTATTTTTTGTTACTGCACATTCTCTTATGCTGATTCATGCTCGGTACAAAGGGTGTACTTTTGTCTTTGCTTTATGGCACTACAGTCATCTTATTGAATTAGTATTTCCATCTTGTTTTCATTGTTTCTTTATCATATTAATTATTTGTTAAATTTGTCATATAGTAGTGCTGGCAAATGTTTGCCTCATCTTGCAGTGAAACTTGATGTTATGTGCTGACGAAACACATAACAATGTGCTTTCCATGTTGAGACCTCTTACTCTGAAAAATGCAAAGAGGAGTTATAATGTGCTGTATGACTATCAGAGATAGTCTTCTTACTATCTTGCCATAGTAAAATAAAAATAATTCAGGGCTTCATCCCTGCTAAAGCTTTGCTACAGATTGCTCTCACTGCGAAAAACACAACCATGCAGTGGACTACTTTTCAGTGACCTAGTTCCCTTCATAACAGTTTACAGGCGTGGGTTTTGGGCTGCACATGTTACAGCAGCAGTTGTGATTGCAATACAAAAGCCAGGGTGGAATTCCTCTTGAATATAACAAAGTTAATTCATTCAATTCAATAAATATGGTCAAAGAATGATACAGTGTTTTGGGGTTTAACTGTTTAAAATGTACTGTAGGTGTAAAGGGAACAGTCACAGTTTATCCCAAGGAGGTTGAGAGGAGATGGAGAGAAAGAGAGAGGCAGGAGGGGGAAGGGAAGAAGCACGTGGTAACCGGCACAGTCTCATCATCCTCTGTGCAGCATTTGTGTTTGTGAAGCACAGCAGCCATTTTGGTCTGCAGCCCTCTTTGTCTGCTGTAAAAAGGTGAAAATAGAAAACTGAAACTATTATGTCAGGCTACATTTAAGTGCACTGTAAGTAACACAGACAGAGAGACTGAAGTATGTAGAAAAAATAAGTAGAAAACCAGCAAAACCATAAAGCTAGAGATAAATGTTGTATAACAAACAACTAGAGGCTGAATCTGACTGAACAACAAATGCAGTTACACAGGACAACTGAACTAAATTATATTGAAATCTAATTAATCTGTAATTAATTATTCAGTATCTTGTGAGCATTACATAGCAACTGAGTGGATTTTCTTCTTTCCACATCATCCTCTGTAAGTTTTTTTTTTTTAATATGAAAGCTCTGTGCTGTTTTGGCACAAATAACCCTGTTATTATTGCAGCGCCTGTCATGAGAAAAATAATAAATGACTTTTCTTTTTTCCACATTTGGTGAAAATTAGACTTCACTTTAGATGTAAGGTTCATAGTGCTTTTTTTTAAATATTCTGGTTATTGCATGAGTGGTGACTTACTATTGGCATAACGTAATTAAAGATAATCCTTCAGCAGTTCTGTTTGTTTCATGTTCTCCACTTTTGAATGAAAGTTGTGGATCTTTATTGTCTGGTGTCTATAGTCTGTTTTGTTTTAAATATATATTGTTATTTATATATACTTATATCTTGAGGTCAGGGTTTGTGCATATAAAAATCCAAGTTCAAAAATCTCAAACCATGAGGTTAATTGTGTTAACCCACATACCCTCTGGAAGCAGTCTGCCATTATTATACGCCTACATCTGTGTCTGCTTTACCTGTTTTTAACTGTCTTTACTCCATTATGTCTTTCCTGTTTATGCTGGTGGCATTTTTTACTGAGTGCCATAAATTCTTTTGTCTCCTTAGGGGTCAAAGCTCACAGAAATGTCTTTGCAACCACTTAAATCATTCAATGAGTTTTATACCATTTACTAAATCCGTATGTTCTTTTATCCTTCTCCTTTTTAAGAACCCTCCCTTGAAGCTGCCATCAGCCATTTTAGAACCTTCAAACCTACACAAACCTTTGGTTATTACTTTGTTAAACTTCCTACTAGCCACAAAACTTTAATCACATGCAGAAGCTCTTGGTTCCCACAGATCTAAGCTGTTTCTATGTGTCCTGACTTCCTTGCCAGGCTGTCTGGTGAGCAGCTGTGTGCTCATGTTTATGCCTCTGGGGACTATCAACACATTGTGTGTTGTCTTTGAAGATGAGGATGTATATATTTAAGTCCCCTGTTGTATTTTTTTTTACAGTATTGGCCAGATAGCTGAGATATTGGGGACTTATAAGTATGTCATAATATCTTTTGGGCAGACAGTGTAATATATTGAACATGATACTAACAGGGAAAAGATAAAAGCTACAGATCTCTCAAAAATAACGCTTAAAAAACCCAGTGTGGTCTGTCCCTGTGGGAGAGTTCATTTATTGCTTCATGGAAGTATACACCTTTAAAATTTGCAGTATATGGGTAAGAAATTTGAGAAAATATATTAAAAAGCAAGCACACATAAAGTGTACATATATTTATTTTAACCATTCAAATTTAATTATTAACTTAAGTTAAAGTGGTGTGAAATTGTAGCTGGATGCCACTCTTTATCAGTTATTCTGTCTACAGCACTCTTTCATTTTCCTCCTGATCTCGTTTTCTGCATCCCTCCCCTCCCCCTCTCCAGCTGCACCACTCTGCTGCAGAGAGAGGAAAAAAAGACACACAGAGAAAGGGAGAGGAAGATTGCTAAATGTAGGACATTTTGTCCAGTCTATAAAAAGGAATAACAAACCATTGGGTGTCTTTTCATCTCTGTGTTTGGCTGCTATGTTTGTGACAAGAAGAAAAATCTCTTTTGTCCCACTTTTCTGCCAATTGCCAAGAGATTTGTTTGTACCCAGCAGTCTATAAATGTCTGCTTTATCTGAACATGTTATGAGTGTGAATGTGCACGTGTGTGAGAGCATCATTTCCCATCTCCTCTTCTGCTGGCTATTCATCCTCCATATTGTTTTTTCTAGCTCCTTTTTTTGCTATCCCTGTTAGGCTGCAGGAAGCAGGGTGGGATGCAAGTAAAGGAGGTGGGATGTGTTACCATAGCAACAAGCTGACTCACGGGCAGGACTGTACCATTTTTTATGATGCCACAGGGGTTCAGCAGCAGATGTACCCTCTGGTACTTACTGGCTTTTTAGATTTGTGGCTAGAATGAGGAAAGGAAACACCCCTGTTATGGGAAAATAGGTGCAGCATCCTCAGACCTTGGGTGGCTAATGATGGAGAAAGGGGAGGGAGATTGGGCTGTCATGGCTGTTTGTGATATTTTTTCTAATCTGTGCTACCCTGTGTGTTTTCTCACAACCCGTTTCAGCAAAATGTTGTCTCTGATGACTGTAATTCAACTGTGAATGACCCACTGAATGACCTGATTTCTATTTTATTTTTTTTGTATGGCTTTTTAAAAGGAACAACAGCATTTTGGTGTCCTTTTGTCATTTCTTTGTGCACTGGCTGAGCTGTTTTGTGTTTCTAAGCAACACTGATCATGTATTACTTCCTGAAATGTGTTCATATGCATAAATGGCAAGGTTATATAATGTACAGTTTAATGTATAATCCCAGTGTAATGAAAAGCAGTTTATGCTTTGCTTTGTCTTAGAAGCTCAGAGCTCCCCCGCTAAGATACTCATCACACATGTCAGATGTGACAAACATGGGGCACAGTGCAAAGAATCTCATTAATATGGCATGGATTTAGCTCGCCATCGCCTTGAGGCCCTCTGCTGTTGTTATGGGGGTAGTGGCAGTTTTTCCACCAGTGCAGTGGTGTGATTTGATTCCTTTGACCTATTATCCCTCAGTAATGATCACACTGGTGTTCCTATTTGGGCTAAAATGGTTGTTGTAGTATCCAAGCATGTATGTGCTTCTGTTGAAAGAGGTTAGCTGATTGTTTTACCTGTAAATTGTTTCATGAATACTGATCAAAATGGATATTTTAGCTAAAACTGCTGTGACAATGGTCTGTTTACTGTTATTACATATCCAACAGAGATTATTTTTATGTTATATCACCTGATTTATTTTCTGTTTTTTACAATAGTATCATCTGTTTTGGTTTTGATTTTTGTTAAACTAACAATATATATATACTTTAAGATTGTATCTGTGAATATCCCTTCTCTCTCCTTCACTTTCATACTCACATTGGATCTTTTTATTAATACATACTTCAGACTCTGAGTATTAGATTGATACCATGTTCCAGTCTTTTATCATTTAAGGTTACAGCCTCCTTAATGCTTAATACTGTTTGAAAATACGGCACTTATTTTTATACATTTTTAAGATGGTATGAGGAAAACTTGTATCATGCTTTGTATTTGTTTTCTTTTTTCTGTCTTTTGATGTTTGGTACAGTACATTGTGATGAGCATTTAATCATATCATTACTTCCCATGTAGAAATTTAATAGTTTGTGCACACACAGAGCAGATAACACAGTCTATCTGAATAAATAGTTATTACACTGTTATTCACTGCACATCATTATAACACCAGTTTATAGTTAGTTAGTTAGTACGATTAGTACTTTATGACTCACCACACAATCTTTTCACCCTGTTTTTTTGTTTTTTTTTTGTTTTTTTTTGTTGTTTTTTTTGTAATGGTAAGTATGCTGGTTACCGTTCTCCCCACAGCCAAACTCTGGATAAAGACACCAGTCTAACTGATATCTTGTCTCTCTTGTTTTTCTCTTTCATGTTTTCTTTCCACTCATTGCGCTGCGCTGTTCCTGTTTCCTACCTCAATCCTGTCAAATCATGACTCACCAAATAAGGTAAGAAATATTTTTTATTCTTCTTGTACACTATTGCCATCAAAGACATACATCAGTGCAAATTATTCTGATTAAACAAGCAGGACAGAGTACTGATGCACTCACACAGGCACATCTTTTCAATCACATACAAAAACAGACTTTAAACACAAAATGTAACAATAACTTATTTTGCTGCAGTGTCCAAACACCACATAAGCAGATAATCATTCTTTGTTTGTTTGTTTTTGGGGGTTTTTACAAGCAACACATCTCTTTGCATACCTCACAAAACATTTACCTCCACTGATTCAATCAGGCATCCATGGATGTGGCTTTTGTGACATCTGAGCACGTGTGACAGTGTGACTGGTTTATTGCTTAAGTAGGTTATCAATAAAACATAATTTGATTGTTGACTGGGGGCAAACACTTAATTACATTAATGCGCTCATAATTTAAGATCTCACTATAGATTAGTAAGCCATCAGCTCCGTTATAGATTTTAAAGGCCTCAAAGTGTTTTACATTTAAATAGGATATTTGTGTAAGCTCAGTATCTCTCACTGTAAACAAGTTAATTTGGTTTAAGGAATGTATTAGCAGGGAAGACCAGCTGCTACAGATCTCATGCCAGAATGAAGGTGCACGGATTATGCTGTCCAGTACCAAGAACTTTAGTTACTGGATTGATACTCTGGACCATCAACCACTATATAAATAAGAAACCATTGCATCATAGTGATTAAATAGGATATTGCAATCCAAATGATGAAGTATAGCTCAAGTAATAGGACAATAACCTGCTAATGATAGCAATGTCTGTCTGTTTAGAATGATCAATTATCACTAGCTTGTTTTCAGTATTCTATTACCAGAAATTCACTCAAACTTAGTTAGGAGATATCAAAATAAAGATCAATAAACTGTTCTGCTGATTCAGCGCCTGGAGTGGGTGTATTGGATTTTATTTCATGAGGTGTCCTGTTTATGTTGCATTACACAGATAGGTATGGCTTTTATCAAGCCTGCCTTATCCTCCTAGGACCTGGCGTCCACATATTTGGACAACACATTTTGGGTTATTTAGACCAAAATACTCAATTTTGCTCCACAAGGGTCTGATATTCACTTATGAGGATATTATATTGCTGCTGTTCGATCGAAATTTCATACGAATATCCTCATATGTGGATCTAATTTTTCCTAGAAACAAAAATCAGGTAAAAAAAAATATCTGGTAATTCTTTGTCTTTACATTCATCAGGTCCCAATCAGCCCAAATAGCGAAGAGAAATTAAAATTGCATCCCATGAAAGAGTTCGGGTCTTAGGAGGTTATAGAACGCAGGCTTGCCTCTCTTCTGATATAGAAGAGGGTCCAAAGTAAGAGAAATATGCCACAGGGTCACAAACTGTTCCCGCCAAAAGGACTATAAAGTTGTCACAACACCTGCCTACAAATAATTAAAGGTGCTGCTTTACAGTAATGGTATTTACATGACTTAATGCATTAAAAAGCATTATTTTTTTCATGTACTCAATATACTCACATATCTCTAAATGTCAGAACAATGCACTGATCAATACAACATGTAAAGGATTTTAGTCATGATTTCTAAATATTAATCATGTTCAAGTCTTCTTTGTTGTCAAATCTGCAGTTGATGGCATGAGTAAAAACAATTCAGCAGCAAATATCTGCATTTATTAATAATCTAGTTAATGTAATCCTGATTAACAAAGGATGAATAAAAATAATATGGTGTTTTAAGAGTGATTATTTAAAAATGGAAAATGGTCTCAGAAACCTGAATATACTGGGCTTTAATAGAATGTGTCTGCAACTCTAAGTATAGAGAAGTTCTGCAATAAGTATAAAAACATACAGTATCATGTTTTGACATAAGGAGAAGTGCCTTGGAAGATTCCACAGATGTATATTATTCACATTTGGTGATTTTTACTTTTTAAAAGTGTAAAGAAATGTTCATATATGTACATCTGAAACTACTATTGAAAATTACATATTATAGTGAACTCCAACTAAACAAAAAAAACTTTGCATTAAAAACATTTAAGTTCTCAAATAAAAATAAAAACTACACTTCTGAAATAAAACAACTGAGCAGATGTCAGTGTTTTTCTTTTTGTTAAGTTTTTGTTTTTGTTGAAATTTGTCATTACAGTCCGAGATGCATGTGCTTTTTTAAGACTTTGTACATCTACATGCCAGTGAGTCAACTACCTTCAAAAAGTGTTGTATTATATTTGTAATAGTTGTTCTGAATAGCTTAAATCATACCTCTGTTAAATGCCCTCCATATTATTATACTTCAGAAGACTAAAAGTAAGAATGAAGCTACTGAGAACTAAGCTTAAATCTTAAGCTTAAATCAGTAAACAATAAACTGAAAGGAGAAACTTTGGAAACTAACGTAAAATAAATGGAATTGAAAACTTGAACTTTATTTCATTAAGCTACAGTTAGTTAATGTAGATTCATAGTAGTAGGTATACTACTACTGTCATTAGTCTTTCACTGGTATTATTTAATGAAACCTGAGGTAATATTTCCATATTTATATAGTGACTATATAGGAGAGTATCCAGCTTTCCATCCTGTGTGTGATGTAGAAACTGATCCATTGATCAGCATTAGCTGTGTACTGTGTGCTGGACAGTGAACACATGGAATATGGGGATTTTTAAGAGTGATTTCATTTGCAGAACTTTGCTTCCAGTTGTGTAAATCACAATTTCACTTTTAATAAATGTCCTTGCAGATTTGATTCAATAACTTGAATTTACTAGCAGCTTAATACCAACCACAATAATTTAACTTTTGTTGAACAAGAACTGGTTTCAGAATTTTTAAGTTATCTTATGTCTCCGAGCCTTGGTTTTGCCCCATGACTAAATACCATAATATTAATATAACATTTAATACTTTATGTGGCCAGATATTTTTTAAATAAACATCTAACCATACATTTTAAGCTTTTTATTTTACTGTTCTTTCACCTTTTATGTTTATGTTTACATTTATTTATTTATATAGGACATTTTATTACAACAGTAGTGTTAGCCAAAGTGCTGTACAAAGATACAAATTACAGGTTAAAATGACTTAAAATATTGATACTAAGTGACAAGTATCAGATAACATCAATGCCAAATAACAGTTAGCCAAAAAACACACACACATGTAGATAATGTGTGCTGTAAACACACATTATCTACATGTGTGTTTACAGCAGTAAAATTTCATGGGTTGTGCTTGTGACGCAGTCTAGTCCTGTGTATTTTTGTGTACAGCTGAAAAAAATATCGAGTAGGCTGAGGTTTTATTTTCCAGGCCCGTCTTCAGTGGGAGCCTTATAAGCTGGCTGTCTCTTCAGCAGCATGCAGCAGCAGCAGTTGGCCGCCTGTGTGGCGCTGTCCACACTGGTGGTGCTGAAAATAGCTCCAAAGAGCTCCCCCTCCTCCTTCTCTCTCACACTGACTCTCTACATCTCCCTCTGTCGCCCACTTCTTATTAGAGAACACGACTACTTCCAATACTACAGCTTTACTCTTTCTTGTTTTTCGTATCTGTAGGTATTTTTAATTGATGTGTTTGCAGTTTTTGTTAAGTTTTGTACAATATTTAATATTGAGGGTTGTATTTTAAGCGCATAATGGCTATTTTCAGTAAAGGGATGGCGCACATAGATAGGGATGTCTATAAAAATCTCTAAAATTATTTGTGAATAGTTTTAAGTGTAGTATGAGTGTAGCATGATGCTCGCTCTCTATTAGTGTGTGTGAGAGAGAGAGGATCAGGCTGTGTTCATATGGTGAGACAGAGAGAGAGAGAGAGCGGCTTCCCACGTCATCAATGCTCTCCTCCCCTCGCACTTGCTCTACCGACCTCCATACGGGTATTTTACGTTGGCTGCCGTCAGAATTATTTCTCTGAGGCGTGAGTTACTGTCTGCAGGCTGCACTAGCTTGCTCTGGCCACAGGAAGGCAACGAAGAGCCTTGTCTGCCACAAAAGCTAGTGCATGCAGGCAGGTACATACAGGCAAGATGATTAACAAGAGTAAGATACATGTATCAATGGATTAATGCAAATCATTATATTAATAATTTTGAAGTGATCACTCACTGAGTAGCTCCGATGACGCTATACATATTCATCTATCAGCTATTAATAATAGCATAAAAAGATAGAAATATAATCACTGGATTATGTAGAATTATATTTATAGCCCCCAAAAAACATTGTAAAGATGTCTGCAGATGCTGGATATACGGTTTCATTCATAGTAACTAACGATGTTTGATAATGTGTTTAATAATGGGAAATTCGATTATTTTTTTGTGGCTCTTGCTTTTGCGTCACTCCTTTGAAGATGTTCAGTGATGCCATGATTGGTGGAAATAGCTGTACTGCTCCCACCAATGAAATCCCGAGCTGTACAAAGAGATCTACTCCGTCTCACCGAGTAGCATCACCCTCTTAACCGTTACAATGTTCTGCACTGGAGGGGGAGGATGCATATCCAGACACAAAGCATGACTTTCACTGTTATGTCTGAGGACGCATCTACCTTGGATTATAAACCTTCTATACTTAATCGGTCGAAAAGTTGGGACTGGAGTGAAAAGATATGGGATATACTGAACGTGAAATGATGTGGAACAGATTACCGACATGGCAGGTGTTTTTGTGGTGGCATCATTTCTTTCTTTTATGGACTACAATAGACGGACAGACTCGCTACAGCATACCAGAAGAACTGAAACAGGGCTCTGTAGTAGGAAATATAGCCAAAGATTTGGGTTTGGTTGTGTCTGAACTGCATAGGCGTAAATTGCGGTTAACCTCGGAAGCTGGTAAGCAGTATTTTAGTGTGGACTTGGGGAAGGGAGAACTGGTGGTCACCGATAGAATAGATAGGGAGGAAATGTGTGGGCAAAAACCATCGTGTTTATTGCCTCTGGAACTAGTTATTGATAACCCTCTACAGCTGCACAGAGTCGAAATTGAAATACAGGACACCAATGATAATTCTCCTAGTTTTCTTACAAAAGAAAAGGTGGTAAAAATTGCAGAGCTGGTAAATCCAGGTGCTCGATTTCCTTTAGAAAGTGCGCAGGATCCCGATGTCGGCGTTAATTCTGTGCGTTCTTACATGCTAACCAAAAACGACAATTTCAAACTGACTGTTAAAAATCACAAGGACGGAAGGAAGATCCCTGAATTAGTGCTTGAAAAACCTCTTGATCGAGAAAAGATGCCTGTACATAATCTCATCCTCACCGCTGTAGATGGTGGAGATCCGGTGCGTTCAGGGACATCTGAAATTACAGTTATAGTACTTGACATCAATGACAATGCGCCCCAGTTTGAAAAACAAGTGTATGAGACTAATGTTAGTGAGAAAGCAACACCCGGGACTGAAATACTGCACGTTAAGGCCACGGATGCAGACGAAGGAGTAAATGGAGAAATCGAATATTTTTTTGCAGAACAAACATCGGATTTGATTTTATCGTTATTTGCCATTGAATCTTCTACTGGAACTATAGTTGTTAGAGGAAATTTAGACCATGAAACAAACTCTTTACATAGATTTGATATTACTGCCAAAGACAAAGGAAATCCTCAGATGGATGGGCACTGTGGGATCGAAATTAAAATACTTGACATTAACGACAATAATCCTGAAATCATTGTTACATCTTTAACATCGCCTGTTCCAGAAGACTCTGCAGTAGGGACAGTTATTGCATTAATAAGTGCAAAAGACCCAGATTCTGGTGACAATGGCAAAGTTTTACTGAACTTATCCCCCAAATCTCCCTTTAAGTTAAACCCTTCCGTTTCTAACCATTATTCATTAGTGACAAATGGGCGACTTGACCGTGAAAAAAACGCCCAATATAGAGTTAAAATAAGTGCTTCTGACTCAGGAAACCCCGCATTAACAAGTGAAAAAATAATACTCGTTGAATTGTCAGATGTAAATGACAACCCACCAATTTTCTCCAAGCCCTCTTATCTCATTTATGTAAAAGAAAACCATCCTCCTGGGAAAATTTTGTGCTCTGTGTCCGCAACTGATCCTGATGCCGGTGAAAACGCAAAGGTCTCTTACTCTATACTGGACTCTAAAGTGCAGGATGTTTCTGTCTCATCGTATGTTTACATTAA